TCATAAAACACAGTTTTTCATTTTGCCTAATTTTTTCTGGAATTTTCTAGTAGGTCTATAAATCCATCTAAACTTTCCATGATGCAATGTCTAAAATCCAAAAGATTACCAACTCTGCGACAGCAAAAAGCCAGAAGTATTTGTAATAAAAATTTTAATGAATTTTATAAAGAAAACTGACGCACATTCTGAATACTCTGAGACAATTACAAAACAAAAACATCTTACCATGAAAAAATAAAAAAGAAGACATTTTAAAATAATTACATTGCTATTTCGGGTTAGTCTATATTTTAGCGTATCACCCTTGGATTATCATCAAGTTGTTGCTTCATTTATAGTATCCCGAGTAGTTGAATGTTACAGAAACCCTGTCGTGACATGATTGGTTGCATTGCATGGTTGCAGTGATTTTGACCGATGGGAAAATATTCGTAAGGGCTTACTTAGGGTATGAATGTTGGTTAGGAAGCACATTGCTTATTTTGTGCTTTACACGGGGCTTAATTTCTAAGATTGGAAGTGTTGGAGCCCTATGGAAGACCGTCAGCAAAGAGGAACAAAAGTAAGTAAATAAATAAAATGACTATTAAACTCATTAATAACTTTAAAATTAAATAGTTAATTACTACCAAATTAATTAATAGCTATTTAATTAATGTTTATAAAATTGTTATTTAATCAATAATATTATATAAATTAATTATACTTTAGTTGATAATTATTAGTAATTAATTATTTATTGAAATAATTAAAGATTGAAGTAATTAAATAATTAAAATTAAATAAAATGTGAAGAGATAAATGGAAATTTAATAAGTGATTTTTAATATAATTTTATTGCTAAAACAAAATTTTCAAGATAAAATTTCTACTGAAATTGTTATTCAATTACATAAAAGAAAAGTGCCGCAGCCTTCTTAATCAGGGCTCCGGTGCATTCCGGCTAGAATTATGATTTATTACAAAAACTAAGAAGCACTGGCCCAATTAAAGCTCTGATCGTAAGGGGGAGGGAGGAAATTTTTTTTATCATCACAAAAATAAAATATACTTAAAGTATAGCTGACGAAAATTCCAAGGTGAAGCAGAATGAGAGTATGAATAGGTGGAAACAAAAAATGAGGGGAATTTTGGTGAGAGAAAATTGTTATGTCGTGAATTTCAATTATTAATATGTGTTTTAAATTATTATTATTCTAATATTTTTATTTGTATTCATGTGTATTTTAATCTGGGAAAAAAAAAAAAAGTATTCTTAAGCTCTTAAGGTTTTATTTAACTCATTATTCTTGAGTGGGAATTGTAACAAAGGCGAGAGACGGTTGCGAGGACACACATCTGGTTTATGGCCTTCCAACAATGAAGGTAGTAGGGTATGTATTGTCGCCTTTTAGCTAATGCGTGTGAAACGGAAATCGTTTTTCCTGTCGCTTTGGCAGTTTTCTTACTTCAAGACAGTGGGAGGTGTACTAAGTTAAATAATTGGATACTCGTAAAAGCTAGTTTCGCTTGTTAGTTGGGGGGTCTATTTTTTTTTTTTTTCTCACGTTTGAGTGCAGATGTTTTTCGGATTGCATTGTCAATTTTCTGGTGTTGATTCGTCATGGGTGTCATGGTAAGACAGCTTCAATGGGTGTTGCAACCAAAGTCATCTTTAAATTTGCAAGAACTGTTGCCTCCATTAACAATGATTTTGTGAATAAAGGGACAGCAGGAATAATGTGGTGCTCGAGTAAACTTTGGACGCTGGACGATCTGGGAGCTGTCAAAATCACCTTATAAATCAGTATACGAAGGTATTCCCGAGTAAAGTGAGTGTTGCAGATTGGACTTCACCCCGTGAGTGATTTTTTTTTTTTTATTGTTTTACTTCAATAATTATCTTAAACTCAGCAAGAGTCGTCATTTTAAGTTTGTTGAAATTTGAGCAATTACTTAATTTAATTAATCGATGTGGAAATTATCAGTGTTCTTAAAGTGAATTACCATGATAAATACTTAAGTAAAGATGAAATGGAGAGAAATACTAGTGTTACACTTATGATACAGTAGAATTTGATAATGTTAATCTTAATTAATATAAGCTGTAATTTGGTGTAGTATTATGTGTTATTTTGCTTAGAAAAAATATGTATGCTGATCAGTTATCCATTATTTATTATATAATAATATTCAAGAATTTAATAAATGTGTGTTTAAAATTAATTGATTTGTGTATTTTTGTAGAGTATAATTTACTGTGGTCTGTCATGTCCCTCCATTTGTTTGAGCCGGGAGGCTTTTAAGAAACATGGAGTTTATTTGAATTTGAGTTATTGATATTTACTTTAATAGGTTACTCACAACGCAAACCAAAGTTAAATTGACATACCACTATACCATTGATTGATAGATATGATATATGATTGATTGATAGATGACTATACGAATGCTATAGAATGTCGATATGATATATGAATATTATGAATTAGATCTTAAATGTAAATTATTTGCTCTTTTTTTTTTTTTTTTTTTTTTTTGTTAATTTTGTCCGGCACCTTGCAGCAAAGTTTAAAGTTTAAAGGTATTTAAACACCAAATAAAAATTTTCTATATAACAAAATGCTCTCTTTGACCGCGGCTCTCTGCTGATATAGTTATAGCCATCAAGCAGATGTGTGTCAGAGGTAAAATGAGTCTTGAATCTGACTCCTAAGGATGAATGTAAAGTTGCTGTTTACACTTTCTCCCATTAGTGGATACTGTTGGAAGACAACGTATAGGAGGTGCTTGAGCGGTTTATCTCAGTATTTCACACTTATTGTACTCGCTGTCACTGTTCACTTAAAGCCCATTTAAGAACACAAATTTTCCTTCCTGCGAGGATAACTAACTGTAAGCATCGATAACAACACAGAAGATGCAATGGCATGGCAAGAAATTTACGTATTTCTAAACAAACTCCTCCAAATTTGCTGCCTTTCTTAAAGGGAAAGGTTTCCGCACGTGAGTGAGGGGACTTTACTTGAACGTCTCATGTTCTCATGAGTTCGTATTTTTAGGGAAATAAAGGATTGCAAGGTCTGCTTATTGTTAAACTAAAATGTTAGGAATTCTAAATTTTTTCCCCCCTAAAATTGTGGTTCATTTTATAAAAAGAAGTATCGGAGCTCATCTTATTTAGGGCTTTGGTGCACTCCGGCTAAAATTGTAATTTATCTTAAAAATTGAGAAGTACCGGAGCCGTGCTCCGGTGGGCTCCAGCGTAATTTAAGCACTGGCTTTACATCATAAAATGCCTGTTGGTGGTGCAATTAACCTGAAGACTTTGGAACGACTGGGAAAGAAAACATTGATTGACTGGTGTGTAAATGAAGATTTAAATGGCTTCAGTAAATTACAGTGAGATTTATGGATTTAAATGGCTAATAAAATCAGATAATCATATCAATACTATGGCTATGTGGGGTGTAATAAAAAGGGATTTTTGATTTTTAGAAAGACATGCTATAGCCAGTCCTGCACAAAATATGCACTGATGTCATTTTTACTTTTGTGGCTTAATGTGGTGACGGCAGCATACAGATTCTAGTTTGGATAATTTTTAATAGTTTTTAGATGCTGTTAAGGAATTTCGTGTGCCACAGACTGAAGAACTCAGAAATTTGTAAATAAGGTAAGTGGATATTTGCTTTGTGTAGTGCTTAGATGCATATGATGAATTTCACACAAATCAAAGAAACAGAAATTTTTAATCAGGAAATATTAAAATAAGTTAATATTTCCTTTTTGTGTTGCGTAGATTAGATAACATGTATTTCCTTTCTTATGTTATTTCCTTGTTTGATTTAAAGTGCCGTTTATTGAGATTATATATTTTTTGTTTTAATTATGTTTTGGATGCCATTTTACTGGGGAGGGCACTGGATGTAAACAGGAATGGCAGCAAATATCACCAATGGGTACCTGAAACATATTTTCCCCCCTATTTTGCTTTTGCAAAGAATTGTTTCTTAAATTTTGCTTTATAACATTCATTACCTTATTTATTTTTCGTATTCAAAATATTGTAGTAAAGTAATCAAAATGGAAAGTAATATTTCTTTATAATATGACAGGGAAAAATAAAAATGCTTTACTTTAATGACATAATTTCAACACATTAATGTTATTTCTTAAATATAATTTCAATATATTATTATTTTTATGAAGTTTATTAATAATATAACATTCTTAAAAAAACTCATTGAAAAATTCACAGATCTCCAAATTTAGAACCATATAATTCAAGAATTCACATCTCTAAAAGGGAAAAGTTGTTTAAGATCTCTTCCTTAGGAAAAAATTTTATTTTTCGAAATGCTTATGTTTCACTTCTTGCCTAGAAACTCAAGTGCCACACCATTTATATCAGAAAGAGGAACAAATTCAAATGATAACAACGTCAATAAATCGTCAAAAAGCTAATTCACGCTCAAAATGGCAGTCGTAAAAACGGACTGAAATTTTAGGTGATTAAAATTAAGGACCTTCTACGAATGGGCAAAATTAAGGACTTTTAAAAACTAAAAACTAATTCCAAAAACACCTAAGAACTTTTAAGGGCTCTTATGGATCATACAAACTTTATCATATATTGAAATCGGGAAATTCAGATTGATAGAAAATAATCTTATTTTATTCCCCACTAGATCTATAGCAATTATATTTTACAACTGACAGCGAGAAACTTCAAGTTCAAAGTTTTAGAGTAATCTCTTGCTTTCAGATTGTTAGAAAATAATCTTATTTTATTCCCCACCAGATCTATAGCAATTATATTTTACAACTGACAGCGAGAAGCTTCAAGTTCAAAGTTTTAGAGTAATCTCTTGCTTTATAATCACAGCCTTTAAGACCATTAAAGTTAGATTACTAAAAGCAACAGCACTGATTATTAATCTACACATATATAACAATGCACAAATGCTAATGATACCTTATTAAATAAAAGCATACTTAATTTCAAAATTACTTACAGGATTTTCCACTTCACCAGTTGAATGTTGGGCTTCTGCTTGAAGATCAATCTGGGGAGTATCTTCTACAATTCGTTGCACAGACATCTGAATGAATTCATCAAATGAATCAAGCTGCTGACGGACAAGACCTTTTTCATCAAAATATGCACTGATGACAATCCAACATGCTTCCTGCCATAAATCAGCAGTGATTTCTTCTGCTTCATCTTCCTCAAAATTTTCTAGCATAGAAGGAAATAGTTATCATCAAAAGCATGCCTTTTCACACACATAAAACTTATTTTCTTTATAAAATAAGTTTTATGTAAAATAATTCGCTACTTTTCTTTTACCAGTACCAGATTTTGAAATGTATGTATGTACATACACATGCATGTGTGTGTAACACATATATACATACATTTCTGCATCCAGTCTAGATAACAGAAAAGTACTGACAATTCATACCTTCACAGGCCCCATTTACATCATCTACATTTATTAGCATTAGGCACTGCACTTATATTTAGTTTAAGCATTTTTGCCTCTGACATGGCTGCATGCTGTTAGCAACCAGATGAAAATTAATTTGTTTTAAAAAAACCTTAATGCCTTGCTAAAATCAACAAAACGTATTCTGCGCTTGCGCACACTCATATGCGCAGTAGTAAAAGGTCTTACGCGCGCGCGTAAGCGCCTATGCTCATGTGTCAACGCGGCGCATGCGCAGAAAGTTTTTAGTTTTGAGGTCCGGATTATAGATCATTCCGAATTATGGGTGTCCGAATTAACGACTTTTGACTGTATAACAACCAGGTGGGATACCAGTATAAATAAACCCAAATTCTATGAAATATACTATCTTACTGAACCCTGCTAAGAGCGAAAGTGGAGAATGTTGATATTCTCCTGTGAATGTCAACACATACCAAATACATCAGGTAAAAGACCAAATATTTGGTCATATTTTTATACATTCAGATTACATCCCTCCGCATTCTGACAAACACAGTGTAAAGTCGCTGGACTTCTATGGAGGATAAACTCAGACAAGTTGTTTTTCTACATTTATTTTAAAACGTAAAATAGGCTTTCTTGACTAATTAAAAAGCAGCATTAACAGCAGCATTATTACAGAAGGGAAAAGATAATAGCTTTCTCGATGTGTTATGCATTTTATTACCTCACCATTTCTCTGATAATAACCAATATTTTTGTTTCTCTTACCAGATCAGTATTGGATATCACGACAAGGAGGTGTCCTTCACGTTTCTTCCTTGATTCCCAAAAAAAACGAAGAAGTATTCTAACATAAACCTGGTGTTTGTCACAACAGATATGATATGGTGGAGATCGAAACAAGACAACAAACAGAGAGGCGATAAAAGCGCCAAATCCTTTGTTCTGTCACAACTGAGGTCAGGTGACAGACATTTGTTATGCTCTGAAACACTGTTGTGAGTCACATGGCATCTCTATGTTATAGTCTGAAATACTGTTGCTTGTTAAACTTATGCATGTTTGCAAAGTTTCTTATTTTGTTTTATCAGATACCCTAATTTAGATTGAATGGTTATTGCAGTGACCTCACATTTTCATTTTTAAGTTGTGTGCATTAATTGCGGGCAAACAAGAAGGCAATTGCATATATTTTTTTTTTTATTTTTCTCAAGAAAAGTACTCTAAAATGCACTGTGATTTCGGATAAAAGTAAGTGCAGCACACCTTTGGGTAACAGATAATTAAAACATTTTGACGTTTTAAAAACTTAATTCCAAAACTAAAAAAGCTAAAAAAGTTTTTAAAACTTAATGATGAAGGAAAGTTAACTGCACCCTTAAAACCAAGAGAAATTAATATACAGTAGTCAAAAGTCTTTAATCCGAACTCGTCGGGACTTCGGCGATTCTGGATTATTGATTTTTCCGGATTATACACTCAAGAGCCAAAAAAAACATTATGACCAGCCCTACATTTTGCGATGAACGCGCCTGGATGATGGGGAAGGAACACAGTCAGGTGGAAGTGGTATTTAACTGCTGCTGGAGAATTATTCTTTCACTTACTTCTGTGTGTGATGGGAAAGGCTGCGGATATAAGCGACTTTGATAGTGGGCAGATTGTAATGGCTCGAAGGCTCGGAACAAGTATTTCCGAAACTGCACGACTCGTGGGTTGTTCGCGATCTACAGTTGTTAGTACGTATGAAAAGTGGATGAATGACGGTGAAACCAGCAGTAGACGACATGGTGTTGGACGTCCACACGCTATCAAAGAAAAAGGTCGTCGGAGACTGTCTCGCATGGTGAAGCAAAACCGGAGCCAGACAGTGGCTCAGCTGACAACCGAATACAATGCAGGGCCAAGTAGAAAAGTATCGGAGCACACTGTTCAGCGGACACTGTTGGATATGGGGCTACGCAGCAAACGTCCCACTCGTGTGCCTTTGCTGACCAAGCGTCATCGCCAACTGCGCCTGCGCTGGGCCCAGGAACATCGCGACTGGTCCATGGATCAGTGGGAGAGAGTTGCCTGGTCAGATGAATCACGGTTTGTCATTCATCACGCCGATGGCCGTGTCAGGATACGCCGTCTTCCAGGCGAACAGTTGCTCCCTCAATGCACAGTAGGTCATACACAGGCCGGTGGTGGCGGTATTATGCTCTGGGGACGTTCTCTTGGGCGTCTCTGGGACCCGTGGTTGTAGTAGAGCAGACCATGAATGCTACAGGGTATCTGAACATCATTGCGGACCAGTTGCACCCTTACATGGCCTCTGTTTTTCCAGCTGGAAATGGAATGTTCCAACAGGACAACGCCCATGTCACAAGGGTAATTGTGTGTTGGAGTGGTTCCAGGAACATGATGCTGATTTGCAGTTAATGTCCGGCCCGCCTAACTCACCAGATCTCAATCCGATAGAACACATTTGGGATGTCATGGAACGGTCAGAGGTAAAAAGACCACCAATTCGCAATATCTCAGATTTGCGAGACCGTTGCTACAACATCTTATACAATCTGTCTCTGGCCATCTATCAAGGACTTTTGGCATCCATGCCAAGGCGGGCTGAAGCTGTGTTGCGCGCCAAAGGTGGCAGAACTCGTTATTGACAGGTGGTCATAATGTTTTGGCTCTTGAGTGTAGATCATCAGTTTAAATCTGATAAGATGGCATGAGAAATTACAAAATTAAAAATATGAAACCGTAATTTATGAAATAAAGAACAATTATGATCTAAAGGATATCAAAATTTACAAAAAAAAAAGCTTAATATTTATTTATTTATTTTATTAAACATTTCTTTCAATGTAAGTTGTTTAAGTTGCTTTATTTTATGTGATAATACTTTCTCTTCAATTCTATAAACAGACATAATTTCGGTTAATCTTCGGATAATGGTAACTTAGCGATATTTTGGCCAGCAACCTGCTAGTATGCCTTTTTTTTTTTTTTTTTTTTTTTTTTTTTTTGGACGCCATTTTGTTTTTACGAAGTAAAAGCATGTTTTTCCCTCCTTAACATTTTTTTTCCAACAATCTGCTAGCCGAAATAAACTTTTATGGAACAAAAGTGCTTAATCATGAGGAAGATTAGGTGCGAAATTTGGAGAAAGTGCAGAATCACTCACTGCTTGCCGCGTTTTTAAGAATTGCATATACACGGTATCCATGTACACGTCGACCTATTTTCACTTACAAAAATATCCCAGAATTACACAAAAATGGCATTGCGCACACACTTAACTTTACCTATGTACACTGCTAAAGTCCTAGCTAGTAACCTTTATTGCCTTACCAAAATGTCGCCAAACTACCTGTTACCATATTCCAAAGATTAGCTATAATTTCTTGTTCAGTTACTAAGTTCCACTCTTCAAGTCCTATAATTGCTGTGTCGAGAATACCGACTAATTTGTCAATCGAAATTTTTTCGTTTTCAATAACCTCTGTGTCACTTTCTTTACTATCGGAAGCGAATTATGATGACAAGGAATTTGATTTAAATCATATCAAAGCCGGAGTACATCGAGATGAAATACTACATTTAGTAAGGAATTATAAACCAAATAAAATAAAAGCGTGCCGCGACGTCCCCCCCCCCCCCCGCAGAGCAGCGTGAAATTGATAAACAGATTTCGGAATGGCTAGAGAAACAAAGGATATGCCTTTATCCATTTTTTGCAGCAATTCCACTTTTTGTTTAATGGACTTCGAAACATACTTTCGCTTTGTAGATCCTTTGGCAGCTCTAGAATCGGAAATTCTATTTGACATAATCGAAAGTTCAAGCTTGCTTTTATAAAATTGCTCTAACAGTCTGCAAAGAATAATAAGCCGGTTCCAATTCAAAGATTATGGAACAACGCAATCTGCAACATTAACTGAAATAGATAATTAGATCATTTTAGCTTATACTGTCCGTTATACATTAAACGCACATGCATAAACGTCGCATATGCGCATGCGTTGACGCACGCACAGAAAGTTTGTAGCTTTGAGGTCCGGATTATGGGTGTCCTGATTAACGACTTTTGACTGTATTATGTTACCAATAATGAATAGTTCAGGACACTATTTGAAAGTCACCTCAGAATAAGCCACAGAGATAGAACACATATGCTTGAAGAATGCAAGTTAAATACAAAAATCTTACATATGAAATTGCAGTGTCGTATTTAAATTTTTGTAAACGATATCAAATAAAACATAGTGCACCTACAAAAGGTACAGTTGTGAAACTGATGATCAGTTAAGAATTAAACTCCCGATATCAAGTCAATCTAGTAGACCTGCAGTCACAAAGGAATGGCGAATGTAAGTTCATAATTGTGTATCAGGTTCATTAATCGAAGGTTGTCTGGCTATGACCTGTGAAAATTAAGGCAGCTGAAGAAGCAACACATCACTATCTTCAAATATTCCTAACATTTTATGCTCCAGCAATACAGCATTCAAATAATGGTAGGAAATTTAGTAATCAAGTCATATCCGAACTATGTGCTATGTGACAAGATATTAAGATAATTCATGGAAAGCCTCGTTCATCATAGTCAAACATGAAGCTTTGAAAGGGCCAATTAGAATATACAGAATATATTAACTACATGGATAAACAATAAAGATGCAAATAAATTATCATATGGTCTGCCCTTTGTTTAATTTGCAAGAACACTAAATACCACGAAGGAATACGCCAATATCCTTATGAAGCCTTATTTCGTGTTAAACCAAAAAGAGGC